CATTTTGATTCGTCAAAAACATTTTGTGAAGAACATGGTTAATAGTAAGTTTGTTTGGTCATTTGATTATGTTAAAATATGTTGATTATTAAGTATAGATCTTTATTATTGCCTGTATGAACTATCTTTATTACTTTGAATGAAATGCATAAGACGTCTACCTAATTTATTTTGCTCGACTATAATCATTTAATAAGTTAAAAAATTTAAGACTCTGTATCATAACACACACATGCCTTCGATGACTAAAAACATTGCAAACACTTAATCCTCGTCCACCATGTCATCTTTATCACTTTGAATGAAATGAACAAACTTCTTGCTCGATTATCAACTTTTAATAAGTTTGTAGACTTACGCCATGCTTTTACGACAACGTTGCGGTGTATCATAATGTCAATGGAGACTGTTACCATCGTCATGCGCACTATGAACGAATCATATCTATAGATTTTTCGTCACCATCAAAATATATCATGTTTCTTGCATGTACACTATGAACGAATCCTACCTATAGATGATAATCGTGGTCTTTCATCCTCGTCCACCATGACATCTATTTAATTTTTGATAAGTTCGTAGACTTGAGTTTAAGAACGTTGCTGTGTATCATTATATCCATGCAGACTGTTACCATCGGCACGCGCGCTATGAACACATCCTGTCTGCAAACCACCACGAGGACATGCCATCAGGTACTTACGAATGTTATCATGTGCTTTATACACGTGGTTCTTTATCGTCGACCACCATGACATCTATATTACTTTGAATGAAATGAGAAAACGTTTTGCTCGACCATCAACTTTTAATAAATTCGTAGACTAAAGTTTCAGAACGTTGCTGTGTATCATAATGTCTATGGCGACTGTAACAATCGGCATGCGCATTATGAACGAATATTATCTTTGAATCTTTTGTCACCATCTAAATATAAAATGTTTCTTGCATGTACACTATGAACGAATCCTATCTATAAGTCATACGCGTGGTCCATTTTTATCGTCCACATTGACATCTATATTACTTCTTGCTCGACCATTAACTTTTGATAAGTTTGTATACTTGAGTGTAAGAACGTTGCTGTGTATCATAATATCTATGGAGACTGAAACCATCGTCATGCTCACTACGAATGAATCATATCTACATACTACCAAGTGGACATGCCTCCGGAGACTTACGAATTTAAACATGTGCTCTATAACGTGGTCCTTTTGCATCGTCCACCATGACGTCTATATTACTTTGAATGAAATAAACAAACTTTTTGTTCGACTATCAACTTTCAATACGTTAAATAAGTTTAAGACTGTGTATCATAATGTCTATAGAGAACGTAACCATCGTCATGCACATTATGAACGAACACATATTTGGATGTTTCGTCAGCATCTAAACATAAAATGTTCGTACATTTACACTATAAACGATCGTCATGCGCATTATGAACGAACACATATTTGGATGTTTCGTCAGCATCTAAATATAAAATGTTCGTACATTTACACCATAAGCGAATCCTATCTATAAATCATAAGCGTGGCCCAGTGGCCGAAGACTGAATCAATTACTATTACTAGTTTTCATCGGCATATAAAGCTAACAATACATCGACAATAAATCGATCTTTTCCAATAGTACTAAACTGTTACAAAATTATTTGAATGCTTTTGACTCCCCTACGCGGTAAAATGTTTAATAATGTTCTTGCTCAGTCGAATCGGTTGTTTTCTACGATGATATCTTCCACCATGTACTTGGATAGAATATTGGATTTTAATAAAAGATCTGTGACATCGAATGTCGGAATGTTCTACCAGTAACACTCGATTCTTTCTTAAAACGGATTTTTGCACACTCTCCGTCATAAATCGATGTTATCCTGTCTGTAATTTTCAAATTAATCCATGTCCCGATATAAGCAAAGAGTTATAATTGCTTTTATTTAAGACGGGTGAATTCAAACGTTGAAAATAAACTTGACATTCAATAATCCTCTTACCCGGACATTTAAATCGCCACCTGAAACGCTGTTGTACGTTTTGGGTTTTAATCGAATGGTATTATTGATCATTTTTATTACATTTGATGGTCGGTGTGCTGGTGTACGGTTTATTGTTTTTTCCGTCTTGGGAAAAATTGGCGATGGTTTTCGGTCTCGTGTTTTAATGAAATGTATCAAGTTTATTTAGCGGTGTCTCTGTATTTGGGTTTATTGTGTCGTATATAGTTGATAAAATAAATTGAAATTGGGACCATGGCTAAAGACATTTAATAAACCTCTTATCTCTGACTAGGGTCTCTAAATAGTTTCGGAAATGTTCAGCGCCTTTTCCTAATTGGAATGGTTTTCAAAACGGTATTGAAAGCACCCGGCGACCTCAAGGGTGTTTCGGTAATCAGGTTTTTATGTATAGTGTTCATAAAATAAATAGCTGGTTCAACATACCCAGTTTCGTTCTGTAAATCTTTTAGTTATAATCCTCTGACACGAACATTTAAATCGACACCCGTACGTTTTGGGTTTTGATCTCGTACAACTTCCCGTGGTTTTTAGGTAACATTTGTTAGATCTGGCGGGAGTGGGTTTATACAGGGATATTGTGTGGATATGTATGTGGTTACTTTGAAATGATTGTTTTTCACGTCTAGGTTTGTGCGTATGCTGTGTTTTTTGTATGTGGTTTCTTTGAAATGAGTGTTCCTTACGGATAGGTTTGTGTGTATGATGTGGTTTTTGTAGAGTTTGGACCATGACTAGCGGCATTTAATTATCTTCTTAACTCTGATTTGGATCTTCAAATAGTTCGGGAAATGTTTAGCGCGCTTTCTTATTTGGCGCGGTTTTCAAAACGGCAGGGAGAGCACCTTGTGACCTCAAGGGTTACAGAGAAATAAAATGGACATGTAATAATCCACTTAACCGGACTTTTAAATTGCCACCTGAAACGTTTGTCGTACGTTCTGGGTTTGGGGTGGGGTGGTGGGAAATGGTTTCCCGCGTTTTTGTGGTGGCAGTGTGTTCCCGCGGTTTTGGGGTGGGGTGGCGGAAATGTGTTCCCGCGGTTTTGGGAGGGGCCGGTTGGGCTGGTTGGGGTTGGGCAGTTGTCCCATCCCTTTACCCCTACTTTCATCCCTTGCCATACCAGAAAAAAACTATTTTTCGATTTATTTGTGATTGCCGTCTTTCAAATAACTTTTCAACATTTATGATGTATTTCATGCTTGACGCAATAAGACGGTCTGTAAAATAAAATATTAATAGATAGAAAATAAATATGTTCAATCAGATTCATCACATAAGAAATATGTGATATCATTGTTTGTGTGGGAAGCAATTTTTCGATATCAAATTAATATGATTTTCCGTGTGTTCTAATGCATCAAAGGAGGCGCTTGAAGATTTGATCAAATCATCATATATAAAATTTTGTAACTTTGATATAAAAAAAAATACCGTATGTTATTTTGAAATAGGTGGTATAATGCGTTATTTTTGTTTTAAAAATGGATTTGTTTTGTAAAATAGGATTAGATATTTTGTTAATATTATCTAATGTAATAATATGTATCTAATATAACGGGATTGCAAAATCAAAGCGTGTATTGTTGTTTGTTTTAGTTGATATCTGCTAATGAATATAACATACAACGTATGATTGTTGCGTTATAATGTTTGGAATAAATGTTATTTTTCATTTCGATATGGCGGTGATTTTAAATGATTATTAAAACTAATGTTTTGTATTATTATTTAACGTAGAAATACATCTACTTTAACATTATTTTGTGAATTAATCTCTGTGTACATAGTACGTCACATGTTAAATGTAATTCATATGCTGTATTAATTCAGAAGAGCTTGTAAGTTGTTAGAACTCTCTCGTCCATTTGTCTGTTTCGATAATAAAATATGTTTAAATCATTAAACGTAGAAAAAAATCAGAATAAACATTAATTATGTCAAGATATAAATGTGTCCTGTTACTTTAGTCTTCTTCATGGAAATTCAGTTCACAACGGTAAAGAACATTGAATTATTTACAAACCCATTTATAACTTGAATTTATACATTTACCAAAGCCGATATGACTTTGATATTAAAACAAAATACCATATGCTATTTTGAATTAGTCGCCATAATTCGTAATTTTTTCTTTAAAATGGATTTGTTTTGTAGATAGAATAAGATATTTTGTTAATATGTTACACGGGAATGCAAAATCAAAGCGTGTATTGTAGTTTGTTTTAGTTCATGTCTGCTTTTGAATGTAACATACAACGTATGATTGACGCGTTAAAATGTTTGGAATACATGTTATATACGGTGTTTTTATTTCGATATGCGGTAAAGAACATTGAATTATTTACAAACCCATTTATAACTTGAATTTATACATTTACCAAAGCCGATATGACCACTAAAGTCTAATGCTGTCAAAGTATTATACTTGACTCACGAGAATCAATATCAGAAACAAAATGCAAAAGACTATCAGGGTCCGTCCGTTTAATGGAAGAGAAAGAAAAGGGAGTTTTTTTCTAGTGTAGCAAAGGATGAAAGATAATGTTAAGGGACTTGATCAAAACCAGCTAATGTGAAGTTTGATCACGTTTGAAAATATATATTTATCTGCAGTTATGCGTTGCACGAAATTTCAGAATAAAGTTTGTAATTCTCGACCATAACAGTTAATATCTACATTTGAATAATTGTTCAATTGGAGTTTTTTAATGTTTAAAATAACGAACGATGTTTCAGTTCGTTGTCGTTTTTTCGGATTTTTTAACCCCTCTGTTTTATTTTTGTTTTATTTTCTATTACTGCGTTGCTTATATCTGCTGACCATTATTGTGTATATCATGACGTTATATTTCTTCTCTCTACACCTGTCATATTCTGGTATAAAGATTACAAATATTGACTACTTTCAATCATTTTACGGTTTTAAGAGCAAATGTTGGAACCCAGATATCAATATATTGAAAAAACACACCTTATTCGGATCAGCTCCTTTATCCAACAATATCTTAGCCATGTCCGTATAGCCTTCACGTGCTGCATCCGACAATGCACCAGACTGGATAAAAATAAACATCATATCAATAAACAAAATGAGAGTTAACAAGGATTATGTTATCAGTACAGGTCAAAAACATATTTTAGGAAATTAAGTAAATGTGAAATTGATTTCGTTGTTCTAAATTGACTTGATTTATTGATGAACAATTATTGGTTTATTAGCTTGATACATTAATACACAAATGACATTTTTTAGACTAGAAAACATAGATTAATGCATATTTGATTTTGTAAATTTTCTGTCAACTACATCGCTTTGTAATAATCAATGTTCTGTATTCATTAGAAATGTATGTTCAAATGACCCGTGATTATTAATATCCAATCCAAAACAAAGTTTCAATACACGATTTCAAACGTATATATGCTGTGTGCCTATGATGCAGACATTATAGACAACTAATTTATTTGTCTTGATTGACGACTTTCATATAACTTTTCAACATTTTATCATTTATACCTTGCTTTATGCAATAAGACGATTTGCAAAATATAATTTCAAAACAAAACGGAAAACAAATATGTTCTATAAGATTCATCACGCTAGAAATATGTGATATCAAAGTTTTAATTCCTACACAAACAATGAACACATAAAATTCACCCAGTNTAGTCGGCATAATGCGTAATTTTTTCTTTAAAATGGATTTTGTTTTGTAGATAGAATTAGATATTTTGTTAATATGTTACACGGGAATGCAAAATCAAAGCGTGTATTGTAGTTTGTTTTAGTTCATATCTGCATATGAATGTAACATACAACGTATGATTGATGCGTTATAATGTTTGGAATACATTTTATATACAGTGTTTTCATTTCGATATGGTAGTGACTTTAAATGATTTTTAAAACTAATATTTTGTATTATTGTTAAACTTAAATAAAAACATTAATCAGAATAAACATTAATTCTGTCCAGATATAAATGTTTCCTCCGGCTCTAAATTTCTTCATGGACATATAGTTCACGACGGTAAAGAACATTGAATCTTTTACTAACGCTTTTATATCTTGAGTTCATACATTTACCAAAGCCGATATGACCACTAGACTCTGCTGCTGTCAAAGGATTATACTTGTCTCACGAAAATCAAGATCAGAAACAAAATGCAAAAGACTATCAGAGTCCGTCCGGTAAATCGAAGAGAAAGAAAAAGGAGTTTTTTTTTCTAGTGTGGCAAGGGATGAAAAATACCTTTAAGGGACTTGATCACAATCAGCTAATGTGAAGTTTGATCACGTTTGAAAAAAATATTGATATCCGCAGTTTGTAATTCTCGATCATAAAAGTTAGTATTCTCAATTGAACAAAATTGTTAAATTGTAGATTTGTAAAGTTTAAAATAACGAACGGTGTTTCAGTTCATTGTCGTTCTGTTGTATTTTACCCCTCTGTTTTGTTTTTGTTTTATTTCTATAACAGCGTTGCTTATATCTGCTGGCCATTATTGTTTATGTCATGACGTTATATTTCTTCTCTCTACACCTGTCATATTCTGGTATAAAGATTACAAATAATGACTACTTTCAATCATTTTACGTACTTAAGAGCAAATGTGGGAACTCAATTATCAATATATTGAAAAACCAACCATATTCCTATCAGCTCCTTTGTCCAACAATATTTTAACAATGTCGGTATGTCCTCCACGTGCTGCATCGGATAGTGCTCCAGTCTGGATAAAAATAAACATCATATCAATAAACAAAATGAAAGTTAACAAGGATTATGTTATCACTACATGTCAAAAACATCTTTTAGGAAAATACAGTAATTGTGACATGTTTTCGTTGTTCTTAATAGACCTGATTTATGTATTAACAATCACTGGTTTATTAACTTGATATACATAAAAGACATGTTTTAGACTAGAAAACAAAGATTAACGCACATTTGATAAAATCAATATTCTGTTAACTACATCGCTTTGTAATAGTCAATGTTCTGTATTCATTAGAAATGTATGTTCAAATGACCCGTGATTATTAATATTCAATCAAAAACAATGTTTCAATACACGATTTCAAACGTATATATGCTGTGTGCCTATGATGCAGGCATTATAGACAACTAATGTATTTGTCTTGATTGACGTCTTTCAAATAACTTTTCAACATTTTATCATTTATTACATGCTTTATGCAATAAGACGATTTGCAAAATATATTATTTCAAAACAAAAAGGAAAACAAATATGTTCTATAAGATTCATCACACTAGAAATATGTGATATCAAAGTTTTACCTCCTACACAAACAATAAACATATAATATTCACCCAGTAAAAGCTTGACAAAGGGACCAGTCTGTCTTGAAACGTTGCGACACGTTAAATACGTACATTGTTTGTGTGGGAAGCAAAACTTCGATATCAAATTAAATACGTTTGTCCGTGTGTTTTAACTCATCGAATGAGGGGCTTGAAGATTTGATCAAATCAGCTGATATTAAATTTCATAACTTTGATATTAAAACAAAATACCATATGCTATTTTGAATTAGTCGGCATAATGCGTAATTTTTTCTTTAAAATGGATTTTGTTTTGTAGATAGAATTAGATATTTTGTTAATATGTTACACGGGAATGCAAAATCAAAGCGTGTATTGTAGTTTGTTTTAGTTCATATCTGCATATGAATGTAACATACAACGTATGATTGATGCGTTATAATGTTTGGAATACATTTTATATACAGTGTTTTCATTTCGATATGGTAGTGACTTTAAATGATTTTTAAAACTAATATTTTGTATTATTGTTAAACTTAAATAAAAACATTAATCAGAATAAACATTAATTCTGTCCAGATATAAATGTTTCCTCCGGCTCTAAATTTCTTCATGGACATATAGTTCACGACGGTAAAGAACATTGAATCTTTTACTAACGCTTTTATATCTTGAGTTCATACATTTACCAAAGCCGATATGACCACTAGACTCTGCTGCTGTCAAAGGATTATACTTGTCTCACGAAAATCAAGATCAGAAACAAAATGCAAAAGACTATCAGAGTCCGTCCGGTAAATCGAAGAGAAAGAAAAAGGAGTTTTTTTTTCTAGTGTGGCAAGGGATGAAAAATACCTTTAAGGGACTTGATCACAATCAGCTAATGTGAAGTTTGATCACGTTTGANTGCAAAATCAAAGCGTGTATTGTAGTTTGTTTTAGTTCATGTCTGCATATGAATGTAACATACAACGTACGATTGATGCGTTATAATGTTTGGAATACATGTTATATACGGTGTTTTCATTTCGATATGGTAGTGACTTTAAATGATTTTTAAAACTAATATTTTGTATTATTGTTAAACTTAAATAAAAACATTAATCAGAATAAACATTAATTCTGTCCAGATATAAATGTTTCCTCCGGCTCTAAATTTCTTCATGGACATATAGTTCACGACGGTAAAGAACATTGAATCTTTTACTAACGCTTTTATATCTTGAGTTCATACATTTACCAAAGCCGATATGACCACTAGACTCTGCTGCTGTCAAAGGATTATACTTGTCTCACGAAAATCAAGATCAGAAACAAAATGCAAAAGACTATCAGAGTCCGTCCGGTAAATCGAAGAGAAAGAAAAAGGAGTTTTTTTTTTCTAGTGTGGCAAGGGATGAAAAATACCTTTAAGGGACTTGATCACAATCAGCTAATGTGAAGTTTGATCACGTTTGAAAAAAATATTGATATCCGCAGTTTGTAATTCTCGATCATAAAAGTTAGTATTCTCAATTGAACAAAATTGTTAAATTGTAGATTTGTAAAGTTTAAAATAACGAACGGTGTTTCAGTTCATTGTCGTTCTGTTGTATTTTACCCCTCTGTTTTGTTTTTGTTTTATTTCTATAACAGCGTTGCTTATATCTGCTGGCCATTATTGTTTATGTCATGACGTTATATTTCTTCTCTCTACACCTGTCATATTCTGGTATAAAGATTACAAATAATGACTACTTTCAATCATTTTACGTACTTAAGAGCAAATGTGAGAACTCAATTATCAATATATTGAAAAACAAACCATATTCCTATCAGCTCCTTTGTCCAACAATATTTTAACAATGTCGGTATGTCCTCCACGAGCTGCATCGGATAGTGCTCCAGTCTGGATTAAAATAAACATCATATCAATAAACAAAATGAAAGTTAACAAGGATTATGTTATCACTACATGTCAAAAACATCTTTTAGGAAAATACAGTAATTGTGACATGTTTTCGTTGTTCTTAATAGACCTGATTTATGTATTAACAATCACTGGTTTATTAACTTGATATACATAAAAGACATGTTTTAGACTGGAAAACAAAGATTAACGCACATTTTAANCGTTAAGGGGCTTGATTAAAATCAGCTAATGTGATGTTTGATCACGTTTAAAAAAAAAAATATATCCGCATTTATACATTACACGGAAGTTCAAACTATAACATATAGTGAAATAGATGTCGGTGCTTTTGTCAAATTACATTTTCTATATTAAGCTGGAACAACATATGTTGTTCAATGTTACACAAAACTGCAAGCAAAGCGTGGCATTTACGTAGGTTTCGATGCATGTCTACAAGAAAAGATGAGCAAATGATTATTGCATTATATCGTAATTAAAATACCATCTTGGAACAAAACATGACTTGAAATCATACATTTACCAAAGTCGATATGACCACTCGCCTTTGCTGCTGTCAAAGTATTATACCTGACTCTCGAAAATCCAGATCAGAAACAACATGCAAAAGACTATCAGAGGCCGTCCGGTAAATCGAAGAGAAAGAAAAAGGAGGTTCTTTTGGTTTTGCAAGGGATGAAAGATAACGTTAAGGGGCTTGATTAAAATCAGCTAATGTGATGTTTGATCACGTTTAAAAAAAAAAATATATCCGCATTTATACATTACACGGAAGTTCAAACTATAACATATAGTGAAATAGATGTCGGTGCTTTTGTCAAATTACATTTTCTATATTAAGCTGGAACAACATATGTTGTTCAATGTTACACAAAACTGCAAGCAAAGCGTGGCATTTACGTAGGTTTCGATGCATGTCTACAAGAAAAGATGAGCAAATGATTATTGCATTATATCGTAATTAAAATACCATCTTGGAACAAAACATGACTTGAAATCATACATTTACCAAAGTCGATATGACCACTCGCCTTTGCTGCTGTCAAAGTATTATACCTGACTCTCGAAAATCCAGATCAGAAACAACATGCAAAAGACTATCAGAGGCCGTCCGGTAAATCGAAGAGAAAGAAAAAGGAGGTTCTTTTGGTTTTGCAAGGGATGAAAGATAACGTTAAGGGGCTTGATTAAAATCAGCTAATGTGATGTTTGATCACGTTTAAAAAAAAAAATATATCCGCATTTATACATTACACGGAAGTTCAAACTATAACATATAGTGAAATAGATGTCGGTGCTTTTGTCAAATTACATTTTCTATATTAAGCTGGAACAACATATGTTGTTCAATGTTACACAAAACTGCAAGCAAAGCGTGGCATTTACGTAGGTTTCGATGCATGTCTACAAGAAAAGATGAGCAAATGATTATTGCATTATATCGTAATTAAAATACCATCTTGGAACAAAACATGACTTGAAATCATACATTTACCAAAGTCGATATGACCACTCGCCTTTGCTGCTGTCAAAGTATTATACCTGACTCTCGAAAATCCAGATCAGAAACAACATGCAAAAGACTATCAGAGGCCGTCCGGTAAATCGAAGAGAAAGAAAAAGGAGGTTCTTTTGGTTTTGCAAGGGATGAAAGATAACGTTAAGGGGCTTGATTAAAATCAGCTAATGTGATGTTTGATCACGTTTAAAAAAAAAAATATATCCGCATTTATACATTACACGGAAGTTCAAACTATAACATATAGTGAAATAGATGTCGGTGCTTTTGTCAAATTACATTTTCTATATTAAGCTGGAACAACATATGTTGTTCAATGTTACACAAAACTGCAAGCAAAGCGTGGCATTTACGTAGGTTTCGATGCATGTCTACAAGAAAAGATGAGCAAATGATTATTGCATTATATCGTAATTAAAATACCATCTTGGAACAAAACATGACTTGAAATCATACATTTACCAAAGTCGATATGACCACTCGCCTTTGCTGCTGTCAAAGTATTATACCTGACTCTCGAAAATCCAGATCAGAAACAACATGCAAAAGACTATCAGAGGCCGTCCGGTAAATCGAAGAGAAAGAAAAAGGAGGTTCTTTTGGTTTTGCAAGGGATGAAAGATAACGTTAAGGGGCTTGATTAAAATCAGCTAATGTGATGTTTGATCACGTTTAAAAAAAAAAATATATCCGCATTTATACATTACACGGAAGTTCAAACTATAACATATAGTGAAATAGATGTCGGTGCTTTTGTCAAATTACATTTTCTATATTAAGCTGGAACAACATATGTTGTTCAATGTTACACAAAACTGCAAGCAAAGCGTGGCATTTACGTAGGTTTCGATGCATGTCTACAAGAAAAGATGAGCAAATGATTATTGCATTATATCGTAATTAAAATACCATCTTGGAACAAAACATGACTTGAAATCATACATTTACCAAAGTCGATATGACCACTCGCCTTTGCTGCTGTCAAAGTATTATACCTGACTCTCGAAAATCCAGATCAGAAACAACATGCAAAAGACTATCAGAGGCCGTCCGGTAAATCGAAGAGAAAGAAAAAGGAGGTTCTTTTGGTTTTGCAAGGGATGAAAGATAACGTTAAGGGGCTTGATTAAAATCAGCTAATGTGATGTTTGATCACGTTTAAAAAAAAAAATATATCCGCATTTATACATTACACGGAAGTTCAAACTATAACATATAGTGAAATAGATGTCGGTGCTTTTGTCAAATTACATTTTCTATATTAAGCTGGAACAACATATGTTGTTCAATGTTACACAAAACTGCAAGCAAAGCGTGGCATTTACGTAGGTTTCGATGCATGTCTACAAGAAAAGATGAGCAAATGATTATTGCATTATATCGTAATTAAAATACCATCTTGGAACAAAACATGACTTGAAATCATACATTTACCAAAGTCGATATGACCACTCGCCTTTGCTGCTGTCAAAGTATTATACCTGACTCTCGAAAATCCAGATCAGAAACAACATGCAAAAGACTATCAGAGGCCGTCCGGTAAATCGAAGAGAAAGAAAAAGGAGGTTCTTTTGGTTTTGCAAGGGATGAAAGATAACGTTAAGGGGCTTGATTAAAATCAGCTAATGTGATGTTTGATCACGTTTAAAAAAAAAAATATATCCGCATTTATACATTACACGGAAGTTCAAACTATAACATATAGTGAAATAGATGTCGGTGCTTTTGTCAAATTACATTTTCTATATTAAGCTGGAACAACATATGTTGTTCAATGTTACACAAAACTGCAAGCAAAGCGTGGCATTTACGTAGGTTTCGATGCATGTCTACAAGAAAAGATGAGCAAATGATTATTGCATTATATCGTAATTAAAATACCATCTTGGAACAAAACATGACTTGAAATCATACATTTACCAAAGTCGATATGACCACTCGCCTTTGCTGCTGTCAAAGTATTATACCTGACTCTCGAAAATCCAGATCAGAAACAACATGCAAAAGACTATCAGAGGCCGTCCGGTAAATCGAAGAGAAAGAAAAAGGAGGTTCTTTTGGTTTTGCAAGGGATGAAAGATAACGTTAAGGGGCTTGATTAAAATCAGCTAATGTGATGTTTGATCACGTTTAAAAAAAAAAATATATCCGCATTTATACATTACACGGAAGTTCAAACTATAACATATAGTGAAATAGATGTCGGTGCTTTTGTCAAATTACATTTTCTATATTAAGCTGGAACAACATATGTTGTTCAATGTTACACAAAACTGCAAGCAAAGCGTGGCATTTACGTAGGTTTCGATGCATGTCTACAAGAAAAGATGAGCAAATGATTATTGCATTATATCGTAATTAAAATACCATCTTGGAACAAAACATGACTTGAAATCATACATTTACCAAAGTCGATATGACCACTCGCCTTTGCTGCTGTCAAAGTATTATACCTGACTCTCGAAAATCCAGATCAGAAACAACATGCAAAAGACTATCAGAGGCCGTCCGGTAAATCGAAGAGAAAGAAAAAGGAGGTTCTTTTGGTTTTGCAAGGGATGAAAGATAACGTTAAGGGGCTTGATTAAAATCAGCTAATGTGATGTTTGATCACGTTTAAAAAAAAAAATATATCCGCATTTATACATTACACGGAAGTTCAAACTATAACATATAGTGAAATAGATGTCGGTGCTTTTGTCAAATTACATTTTCTATATTAAGCTGGAACAACATATGTTGTTCAATGTTACACAAAACTGCAAGCAAAGCGTGGCATTTACGTAGGTTTCGATGCATGTCTACATGAAAAGATGAACAAATGATTGTTGCATTATATCGTAATTAAAATACCATCTTGGAACAAAACATGAAACTGTACATGAAGATAGTGTTAATTTGATGTGACACAAGATTGCAACAAAGCCTGATTATTCCGTTTATAACTAAAAATGTCTGCAGTAGAATATGAACGTAGCAATGTGACATTTATATATATGGAATACAGAATTGTTTTTTATTCTGTTATGGTTTTGTTTTTTATTGTTTTGTTTGAAACTATAATTTTTAATACTGTTTGAATTAAATCTGCTGGGGGGAAAAAAGGGAAAAAATATGTATTTGTATATAGAACCGAAATAATTTCATCAATATGTTAACAATATCAGTATGTTAATGAGATACGGCAGTCCACAAGGCTTTACTGGATACTATACAATAGTATACAAAATGAAAGTTTATAGAAGATAATGGTAAAGATAATTGTTTCAATTTAACATGATTTATTTATAATCTAACAAATTGGTTTAATAGTTTAATTTACATTAAAGGACAAATAGATATAGACAAATGCAAATTTATATCGTGTCAACAGCATTGGTTTGTGATTAACATGATTAAAATTCCAGTTAATTTTTGTGAATTGTTCATTCCCGAGCAAAAAAAACATTCAAAGTGT